TTGTCAAAAGCTTCTGATTCATATAGTGTTCACTAAATGGCATATTCCTTCTTTTTTCTTTTTCTTTTTATTGTATCTCAGCCTTCAGGCTTGGATCAAATATCATATCTAGCCTAGTAAGATTGCATAGAGACATATTTATTGCCTTGGAAGACATTTTTCAAGAGTGAAATTCCAAAAGTCTTCAGGCAGGTATTGGTGAGGGCAAAAAAGCTAATATTTTGATTCCAATACAGAAAATGAATTATTGTAGGGTAGGGGTGTACAAAAAATAATGAATAAGTAAACATTTAAGGCCAAAAAAAAGATGTATTTTCCCAAATATAAACTACCACAATTTTTTTCATTTTTTTTTTGATAGTGTTAATAACTAACGAAAAGTAATCAATGACATTACAATAATTTACACATAAAGTGTAAATTATCTTCATATATTTGTTTGTACATAAAGAACCTATTGCTTGTTTTTTTCATGAGTTTATCTTAGCAATAATTTAAAAGAAAGACATATTTTCATTAACTTTTTAAATTTCAATACATCTGAGTTCCTCTCAGATTTGATTTGATTTTATTGTAGGAAGATTTAATATAGTAATAGAAACAATCCCATTGACAAAAGGCAGTTATAAAAACAAAAAAAATATTTTCTTTAACAAACCTATAGAAAATTTCAAATTCTCTTGACTATTAAAACACATTACAGATACACAGATTTACATATTTTACATATATATATATATATATATATATATATATATATATATATATATGTGTGTGTGTGTGTGTGTTTGTGTGTGTGTGTACAGCTATGGATGTTTTTAAGCGAAGAACAATAAAGGTCAATGCTGAAATAAAAGGTGATGTGTATGCATTATTATTATTTTTTATATTTAATTATCATCAGTCATTTTTAAAGGCAATTGCAGCAATAGATGTAAATTCAAAAGAAAAAATTAAATTGCAATCAAGACGGAATACCTGTTGATTCGGTTGAAACAAAAGTTGGTATCTACTTTGACAAGTCCAAAAATGTTACTTTGTCTTTTTTTTATCTTTTTTTATTTAAAGTTACATCATTTACAACATTTCAAAACACTGTCATCTTATTGGAATTTTTCCTCCAATAAACCAGTTTTAATCAAAATTTGTGGTTGAGAAGATTTTTCCAAATGTGTACCGCGAGGACTTTTTGAGATTTCCATTCTTTTCAATTTACATTTTCAAACTTTGCAACCCATTCTTCTACCTCAAAGGCAAAGTAAAGAAAGAATTTAAAATACAATAAAAAATGCGTTGCATTTTTTTCTTTTCTTTCGAACACATTAACAATCAAGAATATTTTTTTAAATAACTTGAAAAGATTGGAACAACTATATTTTGTCTACTGCCAACCCAGTTGAGAATGTATACCAAAATGAATCAAAGAAAATGATTGTTCACAGTTTTGAGTTTTTTTCTTCTTCAACTCAGTGAAGCCAGGTTCTATATTAATAGAATAATCGCATGTCCAGAATTCATCTCAAATGATCAGAGTTTTTGTTTTAGTTTTCTGGGCCTGTCTGTAAAGATTTCCAATTTTTCTGAGGCATTCAATGAAAGGAAAAAAAAAGAACACAGGCTTTCCAGAAATTATGAATTTCCCAAAATTATCAGGAAATAAATTTCTCAAAGCTGGTAAGAAAAACAAATCTTTAAAACATTTTCATGTGCATTTTTGTGGAGTTATTTTTAAAATGCTTTTTGCATTTTGTTGTTTATGTTTGTAAGAGAAAAAGGAAGAAGAAAACATATTCAAATTCTTACTTTTGATTCTGTTGCTTACACTCTCCTTTTCCCTCATACTGCAAAATGTTAACATTGATATCTTTGCTAGTTTTAAACATGCAAAATAATATCCTCACCGGTTTAATAAAAATGAAGGAGAGAATTAGAATGATGGACTGGTTAAGCAGTATAACAACAACACTGACAAAATAAAATAGGTCAAAAAAGAGGATTACTCTCTAAAAAAGATTTTTTGTCTTTTTTACAGTTGACCAAATAAAGGATTATATTATATTTGACACTAACCAAAACTCTACTTGGGATTATCAACATTATCAAATTATCAAAGTCAGTTGAATTAAATAAGATCATCTTTTAAATTTAACCAGAGATTTAAGGAAATAGTATTTTCAATAAAAGCTGCTTTATTTCTTTGGACATGTTGATACAAATGATTAGTCAAATATTTGCTAAATTGAAACATTCAAATACATTACTCTATTATCAACTATAAAATAATTAGCTACTGATAATACCAGTGCTTGATGCTAAACACTTTCAAAAATATATCCTTGTAAAGTGTAAATGATATTCAAAATAAGCTTTAAAAATAATAACATTTAAATTTTTTGTCTTTCTGCAATATTTTTTGTTACCTTAGTAATTAAATGCTTCTTTTAAGGACTCATTTTTCTCAATTTAACACATCATCTGATTATGTCAAATATCTATTATTTGTATCTAATCTAGTAATAACCAATGCTTTTTCAGAGAAAAAAATCCTTTTTACTTAACTCATCAATGAAATTCTGTAATCTAACAAAAGGACAAGAAAAAAAAGAAAATGTTTTTGAAAAATATCAGACCCAACTTGGTTTGGAAAAAAACACAAACAAAAAAATTATACCCATTTATCTTGAACTGCTTAATTCTTGTATTTAAAGGTACAATCATGTTTAGTTATTTTCACATTTTTATTTTTCCTATTCTAAAGATAATTCTTTTCTTTTTGTAAATAATTCTTGTGAATCAACAGAATTGATCTGATCTGCACAAAACAGTTAGGATTGACAAATCAATCATTATCATTACATAACGAGGATCCCAGCCACAAACCAAAATACAGTAAATACTTGTAATATATTTGTCACTATAATGAAAGTTACTCTTGGTTGGCCACCGGTTTTATATAGGTTAAAAAAAGAAAAGGAGATAAAATCTTATAAACTACTTATCAACTGACCACTTAACAATAACAACAGATGTAACAATTGCAAGCATCTGTAGAAATTTTGTTTGATTCTCCAGATGTATTCACAACACATATGCATTATGTTTAGTAGTAAACAATCATTATTACATAACTCAATTTCAAAATGATACAAGATAGAAATTGTTCCAAAAGAAGGTAATAAAATATGTGAGGAAATATTTTTGCTGTAAATTCTATTAATCATACAAAAAATATAGCAGCTTACTATAAAAAGCAGGATTGATTAATGAATTCCTGCTGATGCATTTTATATATAAAAGTAACATTTTTAATGTATCCACTATTTGAATTCAAGGAATTTAAAATGATTTTTCAATATTTAATCATAAATTACACCTTATTTTTTTATTAGGTCAAGAATAACTTTCTACAAATATTAATCAAATTTAGTAAATCTAACCAGATCACTTAAAATAAATGAATGGAATATTTAAAATGCTGAAAGTGATATTTAAAAGTAGAAAATATGACCTGTTAACAAGGTATGTTAAATAACTGTAAATAGTTTTTCACAATAATTAAAATATAACATTTAAGAAATCCTCATTTCTATTAGAGTATTCCTTTTGATTGTACTTTCTTTCCAAATACAGACAATTTTGATGTCTTTAATAACTGATTAACAATCCTGACCTCATATGAAAATCTATGTTATAAACATATTTTCTTTATTATATTGTAGAATCAACAATGATTTAAAATAACAAGATTATATTTTATATTACTTGACCGATATTAATATTTGTCCAGTTTGGTTAATACATCTTGCACTCAGTGGACAAATGATGAAAAACCAACAGAATAATGAAATAAATTTACTTTTATATCCCATTATCCTTCATAGAGGTTTTGAAACAATGATAACAATAACAGTTGCAATAAAAATCATAATAAGAATGAGATTAACAATACTGATTAGAAATTTCATTTACATTCTTTACCTGGAAGAGTTTAATTTAAAAAAATTTTTCAAACATTACTTAAGATAATTTCTACATTTTTATTGTCACAACAGATAAAACATAATTTTCTCTTTTTGTTATCTGTGAAAACATTTTTGGATAAAATATAAGAGAAAAGAAAGTTCAAAATATAGTATTTCTTCTTTAAACCTTTCTTCTTCCTTTTTGCAGTGGTTTTAATTGTTTAATAACATTGATAACTAGTAGAGACTACAAGTTACAATGTTTGTATTTATGTTTACTAGTGTGTGTAAATATGTAGACAGACTGTGGTGTGTTCATAATGACTCGTGTCAAACCATATTCATCAACCAAGTAATAACAAGAGAAATAATTACAAGGCTAGGGAATTTTGAAATATTGTCACAAGTAAAAAGCTTTCATAATATTTGTACCTGTGGATGTATATACTGATATACATACATACATATACATATATAAAAACACACACACACACACACACACATACACACACACACACATATATATATAAAGAAGATGTATATATATATATTCAAACACATTACAACTTTTGTGTGTATCTGGGCAGTATTCTGTAGTGATTTTTGTTTTATTACAAGCAATGTTGCAGTCATCCAAAAGTGTTCAGTCTAAATTAATTATATACAGAAACAATTTTTTTCAACAGTAATCAACAAAATTATGACTTTTGTTATATTTGAAACATCAACAAATTTTAAGAAATCGAAATACAATATTATTTGCTTTATAGAAGAAAAGTACCCGATAACCACTTGCTTATCTGTATTTTGTACTTTAAGTAGGATGTACAGCAAACAGAAATGTGCACTTACAAATGCAGATGACTGGTTAATCATGTTACGGAGATCAAATACAAATGTTTTCATGCCTATATGCTTTGTTAGTATTTTGTTAAAGTTTTTCAATAATAAATATTTATTAAATTCTTTTGGAAAAGTTAACATGAAATTGAAATCTTGAAAAAAAATTGCTAGCGATAACAATGTCCAAAGATTTGTCTAATTTCTCTCTTGAAGCTTAAATGTGAATAAAAAGGGAGAAAGAGAAATTATGCATTTGAAAGAAGATGGATTAACAATAGAGAGAAAAAGAAGATAAAAAACTACAGAGTCTAAGAATATCTGTCCATAATGTGTCTACATGAAAATATACTGCCCACACATGTGTGTATATATGCTTACATATATATATATATATATATATATATATATATATATATATATATATATGCACATACATTTGGGTATGCACAAATATATACTTGTATATTTGTGTTAGATTGGGGTTTTATACCAGGTTTCTGAATGAGGATTGATCAACCCTGTGCTCCAATTGCACATCTGATTATTCCTTTGACTAGTAAAACACTGATCGTTACAAACACACCATACATTATGACCATTATTATTCCCAAAATTTTATTGAGCCTCCAGCGTGAAGCCACAATACAGATGATGACCACCATCAGCATGGTAAAGAGCATCACAATAGAGCAGAACATTCCACTGCTACTGACTTCAATGGGTGCTTGGCTTATGATTCCTTTCAGGAGCCATGGAAATGGTAATCTGAAAGAAAAGATCTAACATTTTAATAAGCATGTCTTTGAAAATTAAAAAAAAATAAGGTTTTGCTTTTTATGCCAAAGTAACAAAAATGTGACACAGAAATTCAAAGGTACATTGAAGTGGGGAAGATACCATCCTAAATCTAAGCAGTGTATTAAGAAGTAGGAAAATTTTGTTAGAAACAATGCCAAACTGAATAATATTAATTTTTCTATATAGCAATAAATGCTGAACAATTATCACACAGTGGAAACAGAAATCTGATTTGACAGAAGGGTGCTGAGAAAACCATGGATGAAAGATGGGAGAAAAGAGGAAATTTTAAGGAAAATGTAAACAAAAAGAACATTATCAGAAAGAGAGAGAGTTGAAATTTCTAAGACACATTGGGAAAGAGGCTTGGAGAATTGGACACTCATAGAATATATCAAAGGCAAGAGGGGCAGAGAGAAGGCAAGCTTGTATAAATGGATGACAAAACTGGAACTGGAAGGAGTAGTAAGGAAACAAAGTTTGCTTAGAGCTACAGTAGAAAATTGTTAAGATCACCCCTCATGTTGAAGAGAAACAGCACATAAAAGATGTTTTAGCGAAAGAGGCATCTAGTCATGATTATAGCAAAAATCAAAATCGGTTTGACTAAGGTGTAAAAAATCAGAAACACAGATGATGCACTTCCACTTTGAATAAGAAATGTGCTTTAAAATCAAATACATATTTGCTTTAGGATATAAATAATGTAAATATGTTTTCATTTCTAAAACAAAATATATTCTTTTTATTTTAGTTCACACATTAAACTTTGTTATACAGGAATGGGCCCATGTGACCCTTGCATGTTTTGATATTAAATATGGTGTTTTTAATTCACAGCAAGAATTACATTTTGCTTGTTCCTGTCTATTAAAATATTTCTACTTCATTTTCCTATTGAATTGTATTTCCTTCTACAATGTTATATCAATTATGTCTCATAAGAACATGAGGCTAAACCTTTCATACAGAAAATTATTACTTATTCACTTCAGGATTCAGCCATGATGTTATGTTGTTTGGGGGAATTTGAATGCTCAATCTTCTCACAAGGATGTCAGATTCTACCTTCTTCCGTTTATATATATATATATATACTTATATAAAGGCTGGGCATTTATATAACTTCCTTGTTTTGCATGTTTATATCAGTCATGTTGACTTCTTTTATGTCAGTCAGTGACATCCTCTAAGGTCCACTTTTGCACTTGTTGACTATGAATTCACCTTCTGAATCAGCCCATTGAGGCAAATAGTTTTTTGATGTTCTGATGTGAGAATAAGTACAACATTTACTTTAGTATCCCTTAGGATGAGTCCAGTACATATTGGGGTCACCACAAAGGATTTCGACCTTTGGTACTTCTTGGTGTACATCACAGTTCTGTGTTGAGACAAAAACTATCAGAAGAGTAAGATTTCTGTATAAAAATCAGCTTCATGAAATATGAAGAAATATTTGCTTGAATCTATGAAATATGATGCAATACTCTGATGCACATGATTTTCTTTATCTTTAACATTCTTCAATTTTTTTCATAGTAGTATATTTTTATTAATATTTTGTTATATACCTTATTGACATTCAGACAATTGTTATCAGCATTTTGGCCATTGTGTCCTTTAACCTTTTTGATGTATCTGTCAATCTGGGTAAATTTTATGAAATTTCAAACTAAATACTTTATTTAATCTATAGAGATAATTGTTTCTCATTCTGCTGTCCATGTGCAGGGATATCTCAACTCATTCATTTAGTACTTCTCAGTTATTGCCTATCCTATTTCATGAAGGAACACTTCAATCCAATAGCCTATTAAATAAAAGGATTGGTTCATGAGTTTGTTAGCATAGTAATTGTGAATTCAATACCTGGGATGGGTAGTATGCACTCAGATATAATGAAAACTGGTTGAACAATAATTAAAAATACTAAAAAGAAGATAATATTTCCCTATTCATGGGGAGCAAAACAAGAATAACCTATCCCTATAGATTATATAAAGGGTTCAGTTAAAAATTACCTAAAGGTTATTTGAACCAAAAGACATTTGAAGAAGGTTGGTGGGGCATGAAACATTGTGATAACAACAAAAAACTCAGACATTAGTATGATGTCAATAATAAATAGATCCTCATCCTAGAAATAGTACATTTATAGTTATTTACTATGGGTAACTTAGTCTAACAAAATAACACGATAGTTGGATACTCAGTTAGAGACAAAATCACTAGACTTACAAGTTGGTCAAGTAAGTTAGCATATAATTTGCATAAAATGATATTTTTGATCTCCAAAATTCTAAATATTTTTTATTAATTTGAACCACAAACTATTCAGCATTGAATAAAGATTTTTGGCCATATGGATAAAAGAAATTTCAAAAACTTTGTGAAGACAAACAAAATAAATATATGGACATGAAACTTACTTGAGCATTGTTAATTAAAATCAAATTATATGTATATTTATATTAGGCACAAATAGAAAAACAAAAATGACAATCACTTAAGTATTCATTTCCTGATATTTCAATGACAACATGAATCTTTTAACTACTGATAACTTTCATCAAATGGTAATGATAATATTAGGTAATAATATAATGATAAGAAAAAATTTAGCATTTGTTGAGTAAGCAACCACTAGTACTTTCAGTTGAAATTTTGTCAAATCTTTTAAAACAATTTTTCAGGACTATAAGTTTCTCAAGTCCACTCTTACTGCTCTTTCCTGTAATGATGGAGGCTTCCTTTTTAACCTTAATAGGTGGGGGGGCTTCCTTTTTAACCTTTTATTTGAAGTGGTATGGAATGTTAACATATTGATTATATCATTATTTTCTCTTCTAGTTACATGTGCTATCCATTTTACCTGTTGCTACTATTGAAAGTTCTCAAGTGATATGTTTTCTGTCATTAGGAACAGTTATTTCTTTGAGATTCTGTAATATCAGTCCATAAAAGTTTAAAGAAAGATAGTCCTCTCCCACATCTCCAGGGTTCATTCAATCAAAACCATTTTTAATTGTTGATTTGAGCAAGCAGTTAAATAACTTGGAATTGTCTCTATATGAAAACTCTTGTGTAAAATGTTTTAATTATTTAAAAAAACTGTAAGATACTGTTTTGTTCAGTCAGTAATGTGGGTTAATAAAACATATTTGGACTTGATTTATAAAAATATTGAATACTCACCCTACAGTTATATCAAATATATTGCTTCCAACTGAACTGGAAACAGCCATGTCGCCAAATCCTTTTTTAGCAACAATGACACTGGTGATGAGATCAGGAATACTGGTACCTGCAGCAAGGATGGTCAAACCCATCACCTGGAAAATAGCATCAAGAATTATGTTATCATCTGTATCTTGTTGAAAATAAAGTTGGTCACAGCTAAATTCTCCTGACATTTATTTCTTGTCATTTTCCCATATAAGAATTTATGTTGCTTTCTGTTTTTGTGAACATTTTTGGCCTCTTTCTTTGTCATTTTTCATTGTTTTTCATTCTATAGATGTGCTTTTCTATGAAATGATATTTTGAATAAAGACCAAGTGAACAGTATTAAGGCCTCATTACTAAAATTCCTTATTTGTCATATAAAGAGTCATAGAAAATAAAATGAATTACAGATAATGGCAAATGTAAAGAGACTTTGTTTCAATATACTTGAAATAAAGACTGTGATAATCGCAGGTGATATTTATTATTTTTTCAATATCATTAAAATCTACAAATCAATGATGCATTACCTTGGGCAAAGTGTTAGAGTAAAACTATTGAAGAATTTTCAAAATTTAAAATATTAACTTTAAGAATTCAGAAGATGGGATGGGAATACCTTCAAGTATCTGCTATTATACATATATATCTATCTATCTATCTATATATATATATATATATATATATATATATTAGTTTTTTAAAAGGGTCTACATATTTCAGAAATCTGCTGGATGCTTTTATCACCAACAAAATATCTATAGAATCAGTTGTGGATTTTGAATCTCAAATCAAAAGACACAAAGCACTTTCTATACAGCTAATAGATATTGATTTTTGGTAAAAAGAACTTTGTTATAGGAATGTTTCATAAGAGTAAGCTTTCATTGAAGAAAAAAAAAGCAATATTAACACAAATTTCTCTTGTTTTATCAGTCAATAACAGTTTAGTAAGTGTGTGTGTTTGAATGCATGAGGGAGAAAGAGACAGATAGAGATAGAGTAGCGAATAGAAAGAGGGAAAGGAACGAAGAATTGATTTCTTTAAGTTTCATTTATGAGAAGTTGTGCACCTTTTTGCTGACTAGCCTGGCAAGTAGAATGAAAAAAAGCCTCGAGGCAAAAATGAAATAAATCTATAGGCATGTTTGGAATATCATATGAAATATTACTGTCATCTTCGAGGTACCAATATATTGATCATCCAATTTGATCACTTGAGTTTTGTATATTTCAACTGTGCCTGTATAGTAAATAGCCTGTTTTAACTTCTAAATATATTTGAAATATCCTAGATATTTATACTATTGTTCATCAAATACAAGGCCCAAGAGCCACTCAGGGTAGAGGTTTAATGAATGAGTAGAGAAGTAAAACGTACGGATTATGAGGATATATAGGATAGATAACAGTTGACCTTAGACATCTTAGGGATTGAGAAAGCATCCTCTCAGGAGTTTGTTCTACAAATAGTGATTCTCTGGAGAAAGCTGAGTGGAACTTCTTTCTTGCCAATGGAATATGAAGGAAAAGGGGATAATGTAACCCTGTATACATGGCATAGTGGGTTCTAGTTGTGAAGGTCTGAACTGGTAGAATTAAGAAATGTAGCCTGTCTGAACATTTACCATGGAAATATCAATGGAATAGCAAGAGATGAGCAACATTTCATCTATGGAAAAGGAGTTGAAGAATGAAAAATGATTCATCACCCACAAGACCATGTAAACACTTTTGAACTCTATCAAGCCTGGAAAATGAGGTTTGGGCAGTTTCTGGCCAGATATGGCAGTAATACTGCATTTTTTGTCTAACTTGATTTTTGTAATGATAGATGGAGCATAGCAAGGGGAGTCAGATACTTTCTGGAACAATACAAAGAATTGACTATTTTTTCAGTATCTTCAGCAATGAATCATATATATATATATATATATATATATATATATATATATATATATATATATAATATTTATTTAAAAATATGATTCCAACGCTACATAAGAGTTCTCATGTTTCAAAACAAGAGCCAAAAACTTCAATATAATTATTTGAATTAAATTGAATTAAAGTACTAAGCTCTGTTCCATCTTCAAGCGAAATTTTTTTTTTGAATAACTTATTCCTGAAATTTACGCATTTTATAAGCATATTCATTATTGAAATTAAGATTACTATGGTAACAGCTAGAGCAATTGTTTAAAGAAAAGGGGCATAAGGGTTAATAATTTGTATCAATATCTCAGTTACATTCACAGACGTCAAGTCAGGGTAAGGTTGGGGTGCCTAAATTTAAAGCGGAAGATGACATCGTCTAGTCTGGTTAAGTGTCTATGGAGATTTATTTATTTTTTTATTTTATTTTTTTCCTGAAAGGGTTTTGTGTATATAAAAAAAACTGTTGTAAGTCACTAACATTTGGTTTTTTGATGACTTCATAAAGGGTTATCTTTTTTCTTTCTTTTTTTTTCTTTTTTTTTTGTAGGGCATCAGGGGAAATTGCCATTTGATCAGATATGCTTTGACAACTCAGCTATGAAGAGCTTCACAATCAAGCCAGGTTATATTTGTCTTTAAAATAGAAATATCTATATATTTGTATACAAATTGTAAATAATTGTATGAAAAAAATCAAGTAAAAAGTGCTTTAAAGATAAAATTATAAAATGCTGTGGAATTTCCCCCAGTACAGCTAAATATAATTATTATAAGTGGTCTCTCTCTCTCTCTCTCTATCTATCTCTCTCTCTCTCTCTCTCTCTTGAGGACCAAACTTTATTTTAGGCTTAAAAAAAAAGAAAATATACACAAACATTTTTCAAAAAGCATGTGATAAATTTAATTAAAATTTTAGTATTTATTGATATTCATTAAGCATTAAGATAATTAACATGGGTTTCTTGCAAGACTATGAATGAAGAGATTAGTAAATAAAAAGAAAAGAATTAAAACACAGTTCCTTAAAAACTGTAACTACTCACCGATTCTTCTACATTAATGGCTGTCCCTGAGCTATCAGCCCACCATACCATTAAGTATGAAAAGATAGCAATCCATATAATGCTACCCAAAAATGTAATGGGGAAAAATTTTTTCTTGTCCTGAAAATAAAAACATTATTAAATTAAAAATATTATTAAGTAGGATAATTATCTCTTAATTAAAGAAATATGTTTATCCGCATTAAGATCTAAGAAATGGGTAAACTTCCAAACTGAACTAAAATTTGGCACATATATATATATATATATATATATATATATATATATATATATATATATATATATATATATATATATTCATGAAAAATGTTATTGTAACATTATCTGTTGAATAAATAGTTATATCCTGTAAGAAATCAGATTTTTTTGTTCTTCTTTCTGACTTATAGCAAGTCTTTTGAGGACCATCTATCTTCTTCTATAAGCCATACTCCTTCAAGATGGTGATCATGGCTAGGCTAGTCACTATTTCCTGTCCTTTGTAGCTCCTAATAAATTATATCTTTTTTCTATCTCTCCTAAACCTTGTTCTGCCATCTCTTTATTCAAGCTTGCTAGGTATGTTATGCATAATGAGTATCAAATTTTCCAAGCCCTCTGTCCTCATTATGTGCCCTAGAAATTTCAACACTCTCTTTTTGATGTTAAGTTTAAGTGTCCTTTTTGTTTCCATTTTCTCAAAAACTTTGTCATTGCTCATATGATCAAACCAGGGTATTCTCAGTATCCTTTTGTAGAAATACATTTCTGTTGCTTCATCTGTGCTGAGGTTGTTCAGTATTCACTGCCATATAGGAGGACTGATATTACGTAACTGTCAGTACACTTTTTATATATTTCTAATGAAATTTTCGTGTCTTAATACTCTAGTTAGTTTTGGAAAGGCACTTTTCATCCTCCCAATGTATCCTTGGATTTCAGTGTCATACTTTCCGTCATCTGTTAAAACATTTCTCAGATATTTAAATTGTTTGATTTTGGTATCTCCAATTTGGAATTTGCATTTTGGGTTGTTCCCTTTGATAATAACCATGCATTCTATCTATTCACAATTGGTGTTTAGTCCTTTCTTCTCACTTTCCTTCACTACTTTTGGTAAGTATTTTTGTAGTTTCTTTTCAGTGTCTGCTATCAACACTATTTCATCTGCATGTTTTAATTGTGAGAATATAGGATAATATTTACTGGACACATACTAAATTGTTTTGGGTAATTATGGCACATATATCATGTAATTAAATTATTGTTTAAACATTTATTTATTTTTTAAAACAATAGATATTTTATGTCTATTATATGTAGTGATCTTTTTTCTAGAGTAAAAATATCCTTTTACATATGTGGTGGTTGTATGTTGATAAATTGGCTAAAATTCTGTTGTGTTATGCCAAGCTTTCACCTCACATGAGTCATCATTAGAGGAAGGGGTGCGAAATGAAAAGTGTGATTTTAGAAGTAGATTTATCATTATTTTTTTTTAACAATACATGTTTAAAAGAACAATTGCTGTTCACATATCAGTCAGTTATGTGCCATATGTGATACACACTTAGGCGATCATGTATCTTTCGATACATGACTGACAAGGAAGATTTTTCCTGCAGTAGGTTGCCACTTCTTTCTGCAGTAGACCAGTTGCCATCCAAGTCTATAAAACCCAGTCTGCCCTGCTATTTACCTGTAGCTTTGGAGAAGAGGAGGATTCATACCTTTCCCAAGGGTATTAGCATGTGAGTGAATGTAATGAATTCGACTGGAATCCGAACTCAGCTCTCCAATACCTCAATCCAAGCCACTATCCATTACTCCACTGTGTCCCAAATTATTTTTTTTATTTATGACTGAACTGTATAAATTTTAAATTATTTAAACATCATTATATTGATGTACATAATTTAGGTAAAATGTAAACAAATAAATCAATTTCAATCATTTCTTTGAAAGAATTTGTAAGAATACCACTTATTTCATCTGGTTTTCATTTTTTATTTACTTAATTTCATTTATCCAATATAATTAGCTTTAACCATTGTCTAAATCATATTAACTTGTGTATGGCAGAATTTTGGAAAATAGTTCATAACCAACCTAACAAGCTTGTGTAAATGGTTGGCAGAACAGGGATTAGGAGATATAGCAAAATGACAAACTTTAGAAAGAGTTACAAAAGGCAGGAAGTTATGGAGAGCCATGATCACACATGTCTTGGAGAAGGAGAAGATGGTAGTATCAATTACAGTGTTATATTTAAATATACCATACAATAAAATGCAATGGTTTGTATCTGTAAGGCGGTAGTATTTATTCTTAGTGTTGAACAGAAATATTTTGAAATGTTTTCTAAGTTTACATATATTTTCCTTATCTTTAACATGGATATAATATTTATAATTCTGTTAATTTATGTTACAGAGAGAGTAGAGTAATAGGTAATGGCTTGGATTGAAGAATCTGAGAACTGAGTTCAAATTCTAGTCAAGTTTTTTACAGTCACCTACGTGCAAATACCCTTGGGAAAGGTATGAATACATTTCTTCTCGCTCCACTAGGATATGAGTAAATAGCAGAAATTACTGGGTCCTATAGCCTTATGTAGCAAATGTTCTACAAGAAGGATAACTCTGAATTCAAAACCTGAGGAGGGTTATTTCAGCGCCTTGTGACACACCAGTTCTCTGTATTTGTCTCTTCTAAAATATGGTTGGTTCTACACAAGTCTTCTCTACTATAATGAAATCATATGTGTGGCTGTTCAGTTCTAAGAAATGAGTTTCTATAATCTCATATGTTAGTTCTATATTGAGAATACCATGGATGGACCATGGGAAAAACAAAGAAGTTTTAAGGAAAATGAAAACAAAAAGGACATTTATACATAAAATCAGAAATAGACAGTTAAAATTTCTAGGACACATAATGAGAAAAGAAGGCTTGTTGCTATTCTATGTGCTCTGAATGTTTTATGAACTATTAATAATATAGAATCATAATATAACATAACAGCAACACACTACATGTAGACAGTAATTCTAAAAGTAAGCATTAGAAATATATTGTTATAAATAATCAAAATATTTAATATAACCAAATGGAAATAAAATTGTGACTGAAAGGCAATATTTTCAAAGAATTTCTTGATTCAGTAAAATCATTAACTCATTAACTGCAGATCACCAGAATTTACTGTTGTATGGCTCAAATGCTAATGATGGAAATTTCTGCTGCAGGAGATAGAATTTGGGAAAAGGCTTTCTAATGACATGTACCAAAATATTATTATATGATTTTTATTTTAGGTAGTTATGCAGAAGTTAGTATTTGGGCCACTTGAAGAACTCTTTTGCTGAGGAATCTTAGTATATAATGAAAGGAAAACATCTTTTATTAATAAATTTTATTTAACAAAAATAAATATATATTTTTAGAAATCACACTCATACATTTCACAACTTATTAAAACTCAAATTGAAAATATTCAAATGATCTTTTATACCAATGTACCATATAACCTGTTTTTTAAGGATCAGCAGTTTATTATCATTTATATACAAATTTTATTTTAAATATATTTAGTAGTTGTATTGAAATTCTGATAAAATAATAAAAACAGAGAAAACTTTTCAAATATTACTGATAATTTTATCAATTAATTAAACGTTTGCTACTTATTATAAATTGGAGGGCTACACAACATTACCTATAGGTTATATTACAGAAGCACCACTATCTTGTTGGAGTTAAAAAATGCAACCTTGTAGGTGATGAATTTTTGAAAGCCTTACAACCCCTTTCCCACAAACAAAATGTCATGAGCCTATCACTGCTCTATCACTATTTCTATAGCATGTGTTCTGACAAGCTAAATTTTTTAGTTTCACCAGCTCTGACCTTTACAAGTAAGATCTATCATGCCATATACACAAGTGAATCATCCCCATTCTCTTTGTGCTCCAGTAATAAGAAGTAAGTGTCATTTGGACAGTTTCTTTCAAAGAACAACTGTTTTGTGGAGCAAACTTCAATCATGACATCTTTAAGTCTATGGTTAACCATCGTGCTTCCTGCATAACCTCATTAACTCCAAATTGCTCTTTCTTACACTCATAAAACACCAGACCCTCTAACTCTCTAAATTGAGTGGCTCTTGGGCCTTTTATTTGATGTGCATAAGTATAAATTTTTTTAAAAAAATGTTATGTGCAAATTCATGATGAAAAACCATACCTATGAACACTAATGGATATGTCCCAATCCTCATAAATACATTGGACATTATTGTAAGTGGGGAGGGTAATATGCTGTCTAAGTAGTGCACCACTAGAAGTGGTTTACCTACTTCATGCTGCTGGTGAGTACAGTATTTTGTTGATGTTATAAAGATTACCATTTTATTTCCAACCTCTGTTTTGTTTATTCCTCATTCAGTAACTTTTTCTAGGTTACAACAAAAATATTAATAATTACTTTTATCTATATTTAAATGTCATTTAATTTATTATAATAATATTAATTAGAATTTAATTTAATATTTTGTTACTACTTAAATAAATATATAAAGAATTTTTAATTCTCTTTTAAACCTGTTGTATGTACAGATACAAATCATTTATGTAAACCTTCCTTGGAACATGTTGAACTGGAATATATATCATATATACTTGCATATCATGCTAGAAGAGTTAATTATGAAGCTAATTTGACTATGGTAAATGGATATATAGTTTGATCAATAGCATAGGCAGAGCCAGCAGTACATATGCTAATTTTATATCTCATGTATGATGTTACCCCCTTAGAATTAGCTTCAAAATTATGTCTTCAAAAGTCGAATGATACATAAGTATATGCAGTATCAGATTTTTAAGATCAAAATATTATAATTTAGGAGTTTAAACCAGATACATAAAAACAGACAAATGCTTTTTAATAGAGAATGGATTATTTGAACTTTTGCTATATCTTCAAGGGATTCATGCGTACTAAAAAACAAACATTGCTTAGTGCTACAAACAACAGGAAGTTGTGGAGAATCATGACTACCTATGTCCTGAAGAGACATGGCACATAAATAGAAGAATGATATTTATACTGAATATAAA